TGTGTGGTGTGTGTGTGTGTGTGTGTGTGTGTGTGTGTGTGTGTGCTGTGTGTGTGTGTGGTGTGTGTGTGTGTGTGTGGTGTGTGTGTGTGTGTGTGTGTGTGTGTGTGTGGTGTGTGTGTGTGTGTGTGTGTGTGTGTGTGTGTGTGTGTGTGTGTGTGTGTGTGTGTGTGTGTGTGTGTGTGTGTGTGTGTGTGTGTGTGTGTGTGTGTGTGTGTGTGTGTGTGTGTGTGTGTGTGTGTGTGTGTGTGTGTGTGTGTGTGTGTGTGTGTGTGTGTGTGTGTGTGTGTGTGTGTGTGTGTGTGTGTGATATAATTCACGTGGAGGAACATATGTTTTATTTTGGATGCAAACTGAGTTATTTGCAGATTTATTTGGCTCTCTGCAGTTTGCCTCTGATCTTTTTTTCCAGCACTCATTTTGAAAAAAGCAGAGAGAGAAACTTGTGATGAGCGATCCAAGTGGAAGGACAGATTGTAAATTTTGGATTAAAACTGACTTTATTTCTACAATTTTATCTCAGTACTAAAGTCAGGATGTTAGCTGCATTAAATCTGTCCAGTATCCATGAAGTTTTGCACAGACATTCATGTTCCCCAGAGGATACATCCTAACTCTTTTGGTGTTGCTCTCACTTTTCTTCTAGTATCAAAATGAAGTTGACATTTTTGGTTTTAAATGGAAATTATAATAGCTTTTGAATTGATTGCCATTCAGTTTTGAATTCAGATATTATCCCACTTTTGGAGATTGTGTAATAGCTTCCTTTAGCCGAGCGTCATCACTACAGTAAGTCACAATTGTGTTCATATAATACTTGAGTTTATGGCCAAATACCTGCATAACTAAGACTTAGCTGTACTTTGGTTTGGTTCAAAGTTTAGTTAAGTTGTTCAGTTTTAAAGTGGACCTATCATGCTATATTTGAATAATATAGTGTAGGACCATACCTATATAAGGCATATTTATACTTTTTTTTTGCAAAATACCAGACAGATCATGCATTTTAGCCATGCCTCATTTCGCTCAATTTGCTCTGTTTTTGCAAGGGCTGATTCAGTGAGAACAGCACCACCTACAGGCCTGGCATATGTACTACAGCGTCTCCAGCGCTTTCGAACGGCAATGGCCGTGGCTGTCTCCTCCTGATTGGTGGAGTTGGCCCAATAGCCGTAGCGCCACCGTCCTGACGTCAGGACAGTGTTCAAATCTGGATCAGTTTTTATCAGATCCGTTGCAGCCCCTTTTTTAGAGATTTGGGTATGGAGGAAAATAGAGAGGGTTGTGTTTTCTGACACTTGGTGAGTTCCCTGGAACACCGGGGACACATATTCATGTATAAAAGACGTACAAAAGTGCATTTTGCATGATAGGTCCCCTTTAACTTGCATGTTAGCTAAGCATGCTAACAAGCTAAATTAGGCATTTTGGTGAATATGGATAACTAAGATGGTGATCAATTAGCATGTTAGCATGCTGAGGATAGCATTTCGCTCAAATACCTGCTGTTCCTAAGTAAAGGCTAACAGGGCTGCTAGCATGGCTGTATTGTAAGGATAGTATACTGTCACTCTTTTAATAAAAAACTGAACAGCAACAACAAATACTTGAGCTAGCGCCAACTGCTAACAGCTTGGTTGTGTTTCCAAATACTGTATGTTTAAAAATAAGGGACATTAATGATTTGTTGCACCAAGGCAGGACAAGGATAAGTCACACATGTGTTTGAGATGAAATTATGTGAAATACAGCATCAAGTTTTAACTATATAAATGCCAAGATGTATTTAATATAAGCATACAGGCTAAAGTAATGGATGCGGATCATATTCCCATTAAGAGGTCAGTAAAAAGGCATACAAATATAACTTCCTTGGCTGAGTTCCTTCTGTTTGAGTAAAGCTCTGTGTCTGTCAGCGGCGTGCGGTGAGTAAACAAATGGAAATTGTGAAAAACCCCAGGACTTATTGAACTGAATCCTTTCATCTCTCAGCGAGGCGTCGAAAGGCACACACACTGAGTGTCATTGTTTCAAAGGAAGCTTTTGCCCTTCTTCATCTCCCTTTTCTTTACTCCTCAGTCCGTCTTTTCTTATTCAGTTGGCGGACTTTGGTCCCGAGAAAACAAAGGATCTTTAGTATAGTTCAACGTGCTGAATTATTGACTTGGTTTTACAAAAAATAGGCAACACAAGGCTTTGTTTCTCACAGCATGGCGAGGAGAGTGTCTCTGGGTTCTTCATGTGTCGTGTCAAATGATCATATACTCATTTAAAACATATAGTCTTATACTCTGATTGCCTTTTACACTGTTACATTGTATTTGTAGTCTTGTATGTGTTTAACAGAGACATAAGGATTTACATTGCAGGAGGGCAAAGGAAGTAAAAGGGGGATATTCAAATAGTTAAGGACGAGGGGGTTTAATGGTTTAATGGTGGGGATGTTTAGATGATGCCTAAGGGAATTTAAGGGTGGGACCAGGTGGATATTCTCTCTCCTATTGAGTGTGACTGTGAGCTGTGTTCTGGGTGCAGAACTTCTCTGTCCTCTGAGAATTAAGTAGCTCTGTTCCTACATTTGGGATCGATTTCACTTGTATATTGACTTTCTTTATGACTTTATTAAATATAACAAAAGACAAACTTTGTCCATGAATCATTTATCAGTTTTTCTTAAAGGTCCCCTATTATACTGATTTTCATCAATATATTATAGGTCTCAGATATATACAGAACATGTCTCTGAAGTGTTTGGCTCCAAACACCAGACAGATCATTGCAGCATCCCATAATCCCCTCTGTTTCAGCCCTGTTTCCAAAGTGCTGATTCTCTGTCTGTTACTTTAGATGAAAATAAGGAGCCCCTCCCCACGCCCCTCTGAGAGACATTTGGTTAAAAAGAACACAATGGTGCTCTAGGAGGAGATTCAGGTGATAAGGGGGGGGGGGGGTTACCTTGGTTGCTGATTGGCTAATGGTTACACAAGACAAAACATCGTTATGACATCATAAAGTGGCCAAAATCTGATCAGCTCATTTTCAGCTACATGTTGATGTATAAAAGACATGAACAAGTGGATTTTGCATAATAGGTCCCCTTAAGAATTTCCTCCACAAATTGGAATGTAAAAACGCAATTTCCGTCCCCTCTCTCTCTCGCTGCCTGTGAGGGGATCACGGCTCTGTCAGATTACTCTGGAAGGCTTCATGTATTTTTGGGACGGATTTAAAGGTCAATCTCACGCACAACAGTTAGCTTGTGTTATTTTTATCCCCAGCAATATGAGGCTTCAACTAATTCATAACTGTGCGCTAATCCTGGAAACATCCATGCATGCACTGCAAGGTTTTCACATCCCACGGCAGGCAGCTGTGTACCAGCTCCACACCACGGCTCATTTGAAATGCAAAAGCATTATAAAGATTATCATACGGCAGTAATTTGCATTTCTCTGCCTGCCTCATGCCCTCATTGCATTTGATCTGTAAGCTGAATCAATGTTTTAATAAATAATACATGTTAAGTGTGACAAGGGTTTCTATAGTGTTTGCCAACCGTAGTGAAATGACTGCTTTTGATTATACAGCTTCGCACAAATGCATTAATTAAGGAAGTTGGAATAGGGTGAGGCGATATGAAGAAAATCAAACACTTACATGTTGTCCGAATACCTCGATAACGATATTTAGATGATATTTCATTCATTTTCGCTGACATCAAATATTCACAATGTGGATTTAATTACTAAACGGGTAAAGGCAAATAATACAATCTTTGGAAAACAGTCTAGGACAGGGGTTTTCAAAGTGTGGGAAGGTGAGCCTCCCCTCAGAGAACATAAGAACAGCCGCGCCCCCCCTCCTAATTATTATTGCTATTATTATTATTATTATTATTATTGTTGTTGTTGCTATAATGCAGGGGTATTCAATTGCATTTCAAAGAGGTCCAGTCAGAGAAAACGCTGTCTCCTCTCTCACTTTAGGTAACTTCACTAAAAATTGATCCATGTTGCCGCTCGCATAAAGTTAGCTGAAGTTAACGAGCTAGATTTCACTGTTTCTCGTTATTTTTTTCTCTCGCTGCGCCTCCCCTGAAGCAAGCGCCCCCCCGGGGAGGCCCGCCTCACATTTGAAAACTGCTGGTCTAGTAGATTCATAACATTTCAAAAATGCAGTTTTAATATAGACTTTAAACCAAGAAAAAAGACAACAATAAGGATATCCAGAATCTTAAATGATATCTCATATCATGACAACAATTTAATATTGATTTATTGCCCAGCCTTACTTTGGAAGTGTTTTTTATGTATTAGTGCATACTCTAAATCTAAAGTACTGCACTAGGGCTGCAGGATTTGGGGAAAAAATCCGTAATTGCGAATATTTTGACTGATATTGCAAATGCCATTTGACTCATAATTTCTGCATCATTATCATTGAAAGATGTATTCAAAATGTTCATAGTTGGACAAAGATGTTTTATTACGTCTGTTGAGTATGATTTTTTGTTTGGGACATCTACATGTATGCAGCACAATAATCCATAACTCTAAATAATATTGACTCTCCACAACAAATAATGTGCCTCCAGCGATTTGAATATTGCACTCGTCCATATTGCGTTTTGATTAAACATTAATAAATTGTGCAGCCCTATCTATTGCACATAATTAGAACTTGTTATGATGGTTTCCAGTGATGGACTAAAGTGTAAATGGGTTTCTATGCAACAAAGAGCCCATTAAAAGGTATTGAGCATTAGCATCAATAACAACCTTGCTTTCATCTTCATATTTCCATTCCTCTCCTCTCCTGCTAAGATTTCTGCTGTTTTATTTTCAGTCTCTACTTTAATTCTCAGTCTGAATGTACGGGCCGCAGCAGGCGTCTCGTTTGAACCCGAGCAGTTGGTCTCCCATGGTTTTTAATACCGTAATAACTCCTGATTATGAACGTGTCTCACAGCTAATGGGTTCTTCCTCTCTTCTCCGCTGCAGGTTATCTATGCACTGAACACGAAAAACGACGAGCACGAGGCGGCCATCTCCACGCTGAAGGAGGCGCACGAAGAGGAGGTGCAGCAGATCCTCTCCGAGACCAGAGAGAAGATACTACAGGTCTTTACATTTAATGTAATTAATTCAAAGACACTGTCGTCTTATTTTATCATACATTATCAAGTTCATGTTTACTCAGTTATATCATCTGTCATTAGGTCATAAGAAAGGTCAGAATAGTTTACTTGCAGTACTAAATGTCAATATACAGTGAAAAAGGAAAAAAGAAACAGGATACCCTCAGTTTGAAGATATTTAAAGTAGAGTACAAATAGTTTGGTCGATTTAAACATTGGTATATCACGTTTTCAGATATTTTACAAAGTTTTAAAACAGTGTTACAATACTTGAAGTAGTCTTTAACAAGTCCTGAATTAAACGATTTAAGAAAAAGTCAAAAGTAGCATTACTCATTTACTCCAAAAATATTATTAACATTATTATTTGTATATCTATATACATATCTATTTAATCCTTCTTTTAATTATTTTAACTACTGTATATACTGCTTTTTAGTTTAGTTCTAACATAATTTATTATATATTTTTGTGGATTAATTGTGTTGTGTTCAAAAGCTGTTACCGTTCATGGTGTTCGCGTGTCAATTTTGACCCATGATTTATTTCAGTCCAAAACACAAAAAAAAAATGACTATCCTCCAATATTGTTTTAACTACATCATAACTAACTTATAATGCATTCATAACCGTACAATCCTGTTGTAATTTAATGTTATGGCCCGAAACACATTACACCACATATTGCACACGTGCATGTGTGTGTTCAGGTTCAAGTGTTAGTGTACATATTCTTTGAGAAAGGTGGAGTTCCCGTGGGGGGAGGGGCAGAGGGAGGGGAGACCAGGTGCATGTTGCGAAACATTATTGTTACAGTGGATGAAGGGGGTGGGGGAGGGGTGTCTAAAGTCAAAGATGAATCTTGATTGGGTCAAATTTGACCTCGAGTCACCCAAAACAATTCTGCTGGGTCTCCCCAGACCCCAACACCAAATTATACATTTTTTTTTTTAGAGACCTTCAGACTTGGCAAAGATTGTCCAAATCTGTTTTGTAGTGTTTATATAGCTGTTGTGGAGGATATCATGAAGCCTTGTTCCGATACAAAGAACTAGAGCGTAGTTATTATATAATTGTAACTTGAAACGGGTCACGGGAGACCCGAACACAACATAAGGGTTCAATCTGAATCCCACAAAACACTAAATGTATCACATGACTGTAGTTCAGCAATATGGTAAATGTGTGAAAAGTACCTCAAAATTGTTCTAAAGTGCAGTATGTGTGTAAACGTATCCTACTTTCTATCACTGGGTAAAAATGTGCATTAAGTTAAAAAATTAAAATGGAATGAGTCTCTGTTTCCAGGGAGGAATACGCATATTACAGCATTAGTTTAATAATGATTGAAAACTCATTATTTCTTTAGTAACTTCTTCAGGTTATTCTACAGGAGCGAGTGCAGCAAGAGAACCGTACTCTTTGGCATAATTAGGCTTTGAGTCAACTACTTATTTTAAAAGTGAAGTATGAGGCTCTTTAGAAATCAATCAATCAATCAATGTTTATTTATATAGCCCAATATCACAAATGTTACATTTGTCTCAGTGGACTTCCCAGTTTGTACAGAATATCAGTATGACAATACGACACCCTCTGTCCTTAGACCCTCACATCGTACAAGGAAACACTTCCAGAGAAATCCCACAGTTTAAAGGGGAACATGGGAGAAACCTCAGGGAGAGCAACAGAGGAGGGATCCCTCTCCCAGGACGGACAGACGTGCAATAGATGCCGTGTGTAAATCGAAGAGATAATACATTTACAACATAGGTAGACCAAATGTTTGGAAATGCATGTGTCTATAATAAGAAGATGAATCCACGAGGATGTCAACAATCCTGTGGGAGCCATCAGGGAAGTAGTATGATGAGAGTCAGGCAGGACCGCAGAGACAGGTTCAGCCACGACTCAGATCCAGAACTCAGGATAGAGGATCCAGGACTCAGATCAGGACTCAGGACTCAGGATCAGCCACGACTCAGGATCCCATCGTAGATAGACACCAAAAGAAATGTGGGGGGAAGCTGGGTTATTCGGAACATGAGAGTACACAGGTACAGACAGAGAGAAGGACAAAAGTAAGGTGTCGCCCAACAGTCTAAGCCTATGAAATGAACTCCACATGCAGAGTATCGCTGTATATATTTCACTCGTGTGTTTCTGAACACTATCACATAGCAGCGGATCCACTGAGAGCCGGAGACATCATCAATATTCACCAGCTGAACCTTAATTATTCAGCTCTATATGTCATGTCTCCTTATGGAAATGACTTACTTCCCTGACAGCAGTGTGACCAACTTTAAAGAGCTGAACGTATATATGGAGACATTTACTGTACATGCTATACTTCTCTGCAAGCTCGCAAGGCTTTGAATATCACTGAAATGACTTGAATCTAATTAAATCAAACTGTATTTATATTGCAGCTTTCATCCACATGAGGAAACAAAGTGCTTCACAAACCAGAAACAAAAAACTATTTTAAACAATACTAAACCCCCCTTTCCAGGTTATAAGTACAGTAACACATAGCTTTTCAATTAATAAACACCAACGGACAAAGTTTTCACTTTGCATTAGAATAAAATAGTAAATTAATAATTAATACAATTCAGTTGAAAGCCAAATATAAAAGAAGGGTCTTGAAGATGTGCATATTTCATCTTGTACATCTAACTTTCATTAAGTATCATAATTAGGGCTGCACAATCACTCAACATACAGTATACTGAAATGGTATTATGGTCTAGTGCAATATCCAAATTGCAGTAAAGGCCATATTTGGTAAAGATATCATTGTAAATGTATTGATTTCTGGCCTAAAATGGTTTTACAGTATAAAGAAACTCCTTGTTTGGCACAGATCCTTTAATAAAATCACATCAATAACATATTAAGGAGAATTCCCTATATAATCGCTAATCATATCCCTAATGCAATATCAGTCAAATCCAAATTGTGGAGCCCCTAACATGATGACCCATTCAATTAAAATGAAAGATGGTTGCCGAGGAGTCTTTCGTACTAAAACAAACTAAGATTTAATATTTTCTGTCGTGTTGCGTTGCTTAAAACCCCGACGCTTTTTTCACATCGCAACATTTAATATCTCTGCCCTTTCTTACAAACTACTGCATTTCACACTCCCATGATTGTGTATATGTGTATATATGTGTGTGTGTGTGTGTTTGTGTGTGTGTGTCGGTGCATATAAATCAGATGCAGATTCCAAATACTTTGCATGATTTGACCCACAGTACAAGAGTAAGATCAGCGATGAGATGGACCTGAAGAGGAGGATCCAGTCTCTGGAGGAATCCATGGAGCTGCACGAGAGGATGAAGAGGCAGGCCCTCGCCGAGTTCGAGAGCTACCGTCAGAGGGTGGAGGACATGCAGATCTGCACCGAGGCCCAGGTGTGTGTGTGTGTGTGTGTGTGTGTGTGTGTGTGTCTGTGTGTGTGCCCAGCATGAGGCTACAGATGTCACAGCTGCAGGTAATCTGTACTGATGTCTGTTTCTGTCTCCTGTTGTGAGCTTTAAAGAGTTTCTCCTTCCTGTCTGCATCACCACTCCGCGTGCGTGCGTGCGTGCGTGCGTGCGTGCGTGCGTCTGGACATTTAACTTGTTGCGCAGGAGCAGAAGTATTCAGTGTTTCTTTTTAGACAGAGGTTTGAAACCCTTTTGTTTACATTTATCCCACAAAATGCACCTCAGACGGCCAGTTCTCAAATATATTTAAAATCTGCTTCACCTCCAGCACGATGCCAATTTTTTTACAGAGCTAGATACAAATACTTTTCATTTTTCTAACTTTCTTTGTTTGCAAAGTCCTATAGAATTGAATGGAAATATTATTTGTATGCATATATTACTTACTTGGCTTTTTTCAAATCCCAGTCTGTCACCTCAAAATGCTTTACAGGCATACAAACTTAGAAAGTAAAACATTTGGAAATGCTTAGGGAATGTCTAGTATATGTACGGGTTACTGTATGAAGTGTGTTTGTACCTGAGACGACAGAGAGGATATCTGCAGGATGCATTTTCAAATTGTGGCGTTTTTGTTGTCTTTTCCAACAAAACGGCAAACCCTTGGGAGCCACTTCAATTACAATCTGCTGCTATTGAAGTGCTGTTATTGAATTTATGCTCAATATCGCCCAAAATAAACTGCCTCCTCCAGCTTTAACTTTGCTAACAATAGCAACAATACTGATTTGAACTCCCACTGATGGGGACATAACCATAAAGGAAAGTGACTGAGATACAAACTCACATTGTTCCCTGGTATTGTATAATTGAACACCTTGTTCTCCTACAGGAAGTGTCAGAGGAGTAGTGTGTTATTCCTCAGGAGAAGATACGGTGTAAACACTTACAACATACAAGACTGCTGTGTGTGTGTGTGTGTGTGTGTGTGTGTGTGTGTGTGTGGTGTGTGTGTGTGTGTGTGTGTGTGTGTGTGTGTGTGTGTGTGTGTGTGTGTGTGTGTGTGTGTGTGTGTGTGTGTGTGTGTGTGTGTGTGTGTGTGTGTGTGTGTGTGTGTGTGTGTGTGTGTGTGTGTGTGTGTGTGTGTGTGTGTGTGTGTGTGTGTGTGTGTGTGTGTGTGTGTGTGTGTGTGTGTGTGTGTGTGTGTGTGTTGTGTGTGTGTGTGTGGTGTGTGTGTGTGTGTGTGTGTGTGTGTGTGTGTGTGTGTGTGTGTGGTGGACATTGTAACAGATCGATACAGTAGCCGACATAATTGTATTGGATTTATTGTACAGAGGGTAGAGGAGCTGCAGCGATGTGTTCAGTACAAGAAAAAAGAGATGGGAAAATTGACAAGACTGAGGATTTTGAGTGACAATTAATGCAAGAACACGCACCCACACCTAGGTGTTTGTAGTAGTGTTGCAACAAAAGTTGTAACAGATCAATGTCAGCTTGTATATCTGCAACTTCATATATCATTAGCTTTGAGAAAAATCTGATTTAGTGTCAGGTTATTCGTACCATTTTTCCATTCATCTGAACATTTTTAACTTGTGTTTTCAGGTACAAATTGCCACTAATAGTAATTGCAAGTCGCTGATTTTGTAATTATCCGCTGCCTTCATAAATGAAACGCTAATTTCAGACCGTGCAGGCAAATTAAATGAAAGGCGTGAACTTGTTTATGTAAATCTGGCCCTGAGAGATGTTTATCATTTCTCACGCCTGCTTGTGAAAATGTGAATGTAGTGCCTCATGAAACTAAAGTCCACTTGTTTATATTAAGCAATTTGAAGCCTCTTTTTTACTCGGACAGGTGTAGTGCAGTGTGCAAATACAATGGCAGAGGCACAAGAATGGAAATGTGCCATAAAAAAAAGTAGTTAAAATTAAGGTAGTGTTGAATAAAACTAAACAAAACAGACAAGTGACTTTCCAGAGCCTCAGTACTCCCGTTATAGGACAGACAGAACCCCGAGTGCACACAATGTCATCCTCCAATGGTTTTATAGTCTTAACTGGGATCAATGGACAAGTTATAACAGTAATTCTTTATCCCACAAAGGTTGTAATCACTCTACAACAAATTATAATTGAAATGTTATTATGCTATTCATATCATTTTATTTTCCTGGAATGTTAAAGGTTACGTTTCTTTCCCAGCAGATGTGATTATCCAATGATTACTTAACAAATTATAATAATGACTTTACAACATGATATAACGATCCAATAATAACTTCACAAAATATAATAATCCCAATTTTATTATGATATTATCCATACATGTTTATGATCCTACAAAATGTAAAAGTAACGTTTCATTGGCTTGAAAAAAAAAAATGATGTGTTGATAGTTTTGTGGTTCCTACTAACAGTGTCTTTATCATGATCTTGCTCTTTGTATTTCCTTGTGTCATCTCTGGTTCCTTTTCCTGTCTTTGTGTTTTCCCGCCTTTTTGTGATTGTTTGTCCCGCCCTCATTCTCCCTCCCCTTGTGTTTGTGCCTGCCCTCTCCGGCTGTTGATGTGATGAGTTCAGTGTGTGTATAAATACCTGTCTTTACCACTGTTCTCTGTCATTAAAAAAATGTGTGGTTAGTTTTGATCTAACAAAATAAGAACAAATTGTGGATACGAATAAACATAAGAGAATGTTTGTGCATTTAAAGGTAGGGTAGGTAAGTTTGAGAAACCGGCTCGAGATCGCTAGAATTTGAAAATACACAACCGGAGAAAATCTGCCACTTCCTTACAGAGCCCCTCCTCCAACACACACGAACGCGCACATGACCAATGAGGGCACGAAATAAGTTTGTGCACAGATGGAAGGCTGACAGGCAGGTAGGCCATCCAGTTATTTTAGCCGGGCCGGCTCAGATGATTGGTCGTGCTTTTTACAGTACTACAGCTTCCACAGATGACATTTTTTAATGGATTTTTTGTCAAAGCACTTAAGATATTCATTGCTATCGGGATGTTAAGAGCATTCCATGGAATATAACAAAAAGTGTATCTCGAGCCGGTTTCTCAAACTTACCTACCCTACCTTTAAGGCTAGATGAACTTTATATGATGATTTTTCTTGTATTTGGACCAGAGGGCGCGTTAACCGAATATTTTCCGTCTATGACCGATTTCTTTTAACAATGACGGAAAAATCTGAAAGCAGTCCGTCATTTTGACAGATTAGAACAAACTCAGAACAGCGCCAAAGCTTCCCCGCAGCGAGACTCCGGTGTTATGCATGCCCTCCAAAAAGGAGATGATATAGTTTCCAACCCTAACTTTGCCGTACAAATCATTGAAATGTCTGTGAGTGCTTTAGCGTGCCCCCCCCCCCCCCCCCCCCGTCAGAGTTGTGTACAGACCGACGGGTAATAATGAATTGTGACAGACATTTCTAAAATGATGGGCAGCGAAAAAACTCTAGCGCAACCTCTGATTTGGACACTAATTTATAGTGCACTGTTCAAATGGTGGATTTCAGCAGACATGATGGCAGTCAGAAGGTCAAAATCTCCCAAACCTACATCACTAACAATCACTTACAAACCCAGGTATCCATCCTCCTCCCATCAGTTATTACTTTATGGTGTTCAGATCTTTAAGTAGAAAACACATGACATTTGTTACTTAAAATGTCTAATAAGTTGTTCGCCTGTTCAGTCCTTTCATGTCTTTTATACTATATACCAAGTTCACTAATGTTTCAAGGAAGCCGTTTTGTCAAATACCATCTGTGGGATAGATGACAATTGTGTATTTAAATATGATTGTCATATTCCCGTCCCTCCCTCAGCACACGCAGCGGGTGGTGTCCATGTCCCGGGAGGTGGAGGAGATGCGGCGGTCCTTCGAGGAGAAGCTGCGGACGTTCGGCTCGGCGCAGACGCAGTTTGAGCAGGAGAAGAAGGCGGCTCTGGAGGAGCTGAAGGGCCAGCACCGGCAGGAGGTCCAGGAGCTCCTGCGCAGCCACCAGAGCCAGAACGCTGACTACAGCAAGGACCAGGAGAAACTGGTGCAGCTGCACAAAGCCGAGGTGAAACAATAACTGATCCAAAGTGCAAATCACTACCATTTAATCAGCTTAAATTAACTTTAAATATGTTCATGTTTTTGTTTTTCATTATTACTAATACAGTTATGATTTATTTTTCTTAATCTGTGTGTAATGTGTGTAAAACACAACAGAGTGGAGAGAGAAATATCCCTGTGAGGGATTAATAAAGTATGTCTTCTTCTTCTTCCTCTCAGGTGGACTCCCTGACGGAGCGCGTGGAGGAGCTCAAACAGGACAAGAAGAGACTGGTGGAGGAGTACGAGGCCAAACTCAGCAAGGTACAGTACTGAGTATTACGTTCTTATTATATCTATGCAGTGATCAAAACAGGTATATTTGTATAAAGAAATATAAATGCATGATAGTAGAGTCTGTCCTGCACGCTATATTAAATGGTAAACCTCAGTAAATGTGTTTTCTAATTCAAAATCAGTGAGAGAGTCACCTGTAATAACTTGCATCGATTACAAAAAAGCCACACTTCAAAGGTGAAAAATGCTCTGAGTAATGGTTAAAAAATAACTGAGATTATATTTATTGGAAGCGTTTTGTTGACATGGATGAAAGTGGAGGCTGTGATCTGCAGACGGTGTACAGCGGGAGCACAACGGCTGCATTTAGAAGCTATTCATTTCAATAAAAAGCGCTCCTCTCTCCGACAGTGACGCTGTCAGCCAAGACATCTTGGCCCCAGCTCTTTCACTCGCGTTGATTATTTTCGCATGAGATTGCATTTTGATGAGAAAGCTTTTCATCCGTCCAAAATGTTTTCCAATTGAATGCCCAGTTTATAATAGAGAGGGAAATGTCTAAACACAGATAGTCGGTATCCGTGCTATTTGCTTTATCAGAATCAGAATCCCTTTAGTAGTCCCACAGATTGGGGGACATGTACATTGTTACAGCAGAAAAGAGCCAAAGACAGCTTAGAAGCATGCATACAAAAGTATTAAAGATTACAAAAAATACAATAAAAGGTTACACAATTTACAAAATACACATCCTGTAACAGTTCTGAGGATTTAGCAGCCAGGTGTATATTGCACAGTTTTTAACGGCATATATATAAATATTGAGAAAGCTTTTCATCCGTCCAAAATGTTTTCCAATTGAATGCCCAGTTTATAATGAAGAGGGAAATGTCAAAACACAGATAGTCGGTATCCGTGCTATTTGCTTTATTTGTCATACCTCTGAAAATCTGATTGAATTAAGTTGTTTCCTCACACCTGTCTCTCGTCTCCAGTCTCAGGCGTTTTACGAGCGCGAGCTGGAGGCCATGAAGAGGACTCAGCAGCTGACGGCCGACAACCTGTTGGCATGGAAACGCACCGAGAGCGAGCTGCGGCGGGAGTTTCAGACTCAGGAGGCGGCGCTGCAGAAAACGCTCGGGAAGCTGAGGGTGGAGCTGGCCCGCGTCACGGATGAAGCGCGGGAAAACCGGGAGAAATCCCACAAACTGCAATCGTCCCTGCACAACGCCGAGAGCAACGTCAAGGTGAGTTTAAACTCAAAACAGGGATTCTTTCATGGAGACACGTGCTGTTGCTTTCTGTATGTGCGCTTTAACCTGTTAAACCCCATGCCCCCGCCCCCAACAATATTTACGAAACTCTGTCTCAGGGCTTCTTAACATTTAACAACCTATGAATGCGTCATACCCACTTAACGGGAAGAAACTCAGCTAACTGACGATATGAACCATTTTTACCGAATCAAAACACAACTCTAACGTCGAATTAGCACTAAGCGAAAGAATGCTAATGCACTTAACTCACGGTAGAAATATGTTATACTTCATCGGATCTGTACAAACAATATATCATATGAAAGCTGAGATTCCACAGATTCCAATGGTATAAGTATCATCACTGTGCGACCAGAACTCACCGCAGCGAAGGCAAAACCAGACAACACACAACTTAGCTTTACGGGGCCAAAACGGCAAATACGTCTTACCTTTGCTGTTTTCTGATCAAAAGTTGTGTTCAATGGCATTAAAACACATATAAACGCTGCTGAAGGTTAATCCAATGTGTCTGTGTCACTTTGAAATGATTATTTATGTCAATAAGAGTAGTTTTCATATATTACATTACATGACATGTCACTTGTTAGACGCTTTTATCCAAAGCGACTTACATACTCAATGCTGTGGGCAATCCCCACAGGAGCAATTTGGGGTGAAGTGTCTCAGGGACACAACGACATGCTGACTGCAGTGGGGTTTGAACCTGTGACCCCCTGATCCCAACACCAAGGCTCTACTGTGCCACACGCCTCCCGTATATATAGCTGTATGAGAGCTACGAGAGCTGTAACCCAGCTTCCGGTTTTGGGCTTGCTGGCTGCGCATCACTCATTCACCAATGGGTAATGTTTAGATGGATTTAGGAACTTCCCCTCGATTCTATTGGCTCTAACGGTTCAAAAGAGGTGTCAATCACCAAAATCAAACGATGGGTTCCAGAGATATGGAAAATGCACCCAAATGACCCCAGAAGTGTTTTTTTTTTTTAAATATCTCTAAAAAGGTCAAATGTCACTTGTTTTGCATTAATCTTGATACAGGGTACTTATTATATGTTGTACTTTGGATTCCTAAAGCTTTTAGTCTACTAACCCATCATTCAAGGGTGGTTTTCACTATAAGTAATGGGGTTTTTTTTTGACGGAAATTATAATGTACATTTTTTTATTATGTTCAATCTGAATTTACTTTAAAATAAAAACAGCTATATTGATTCTGACATCCAACTCACAGGTGTATCATTACTTTGAGAAAAAAGATTATTAATTTACCCCTTTTAGAAGTGAAGTTATAGTCATTTGTTCTGGGAATGTCATTTTCGAGCCTGAAACCTGAAAAACAGGCTCAGGGCTAGACAGGATAGGGAGGGAGATTGCAAAAGTACTAGAACATCCTGTAATTTAATGAAATAAAGTCTAGGATTGGTTTAATTACTCTATTGAGTTTTATTCTGAATTTGTATTGACAGCTTGCAAAATGTGTCCTCTGTCATAGAGGATGAAATGGTTGGATAAGATATATTGGACAATGGGATACAAAAATAAATAAATGGGTAACAGTTTGGTGAACTTAATCTGTACAGTGAATTCTGAACACCAGACTATCAAATTAAACTATCTATTTCTCACATTTACACCTTAAATATCCAGCTTTTTTTTAACTTAAAAATCTGCATATACAGTATTATAATTCAGAACATATCATAGTAGACCTCAAGCATGCTTTGAGAACTTTATTCATCTCATAAATCAAAAATATTTGTTGAATTTCAACCATTACAGACAATAAATATTTATGTTCATTCATGTAACACTAGTACGTTATGAATATGGGAGAGTGGGACCCCTTTATGTTTGTGTATTGCACATTTGCAAAACACACACACTAGCGGACACACATCCCAGCCACCAGCTTCAACTCCATTCTGCAAAAATAAAAACTTTTAACATGCAATTAAACGTAACACTACGCCAACAAAGGCAAAGAAGAGGCAGATGGCAAGCAAGAAAAACAAGACTGCAACTGTGCACGATGTAAAATATTCAAAAGCATAATTTTGGCACTAATTTGGCCATTTTTGCAATTTGCATTTTGTGCAAATATACCAATTCCGTTTTTTCCACTTTCTGAGCTCTGCAAGGCTTTTGGAAGAAGACTAACAGGATATTATCTCTAGCGTTAAAAATAAAGTTGACATGTGCTTGGGGGATAAGTGGAAGTAGGTCTGTGTTGTTGTTATGATATGCTGTGTGAAATTATCTCTGATTGCTCAGAAGACAGCGAGGGTCCCCATTCTCAGCGATACTGGGAATATGATCAAGGTCAGCAGTGGTTGCTGTGCCTGGAGTTAATAATCTCACTCGTTTTCAGAGCAATTAACTGTAACCCAGATAAAGAACTAGCAACAGAGAGAAAGATGGCAGTTCCTCTAGATTCTCTCATATGAGGTAGAAAAAACAGAAATCAGAGAGCAGGAACAATTTCATTTAGCTTTTTAATGAGTTGTGATTACAAACCCAGTCCATAAACATATATTTTAAAGGGGACCTATCATGCAAAATGCACTTTGTGATGTCTTTTATACATAAATAATATGTGTCCCCGGTGTGTCGGGGAACTCACGCAGCGTCAGAAAATAAAACCCTCTCTCTTTTCCTCCGTACCCAAATCTTTTAAAAACGGGGGCTACAACGAGCGGATACAGATTCCATCCGAGGGTGACGCTCCGCCTACAAACGGACCGCAATCGTTATCAAAAAAGTCTTCCGTCCACACGCAACAGGCCACCAGAAACCGTGTCCGTTCACACGAGACCGCTCGAAAAGCGGCTGGAGACGCTGTAGTACATTTGCCAGGCCTGTAAGTGGCGCTGTAGTCTGCCACAAAAGCAGCGAAGAAGACTTCTCGCGCATGGTTGCCATTATTGCCCTTCTGTTTATTCTCCGCTCTGGCTCTTTTTCTCCCTCCCCGAGGCAAGCGTGTGCTCCTGCTGTAATTCTCTCTGGTTAGTCCACCAGCAGATGAAAAACACCCACCTCTCCGCCTCTTCCAAGGGACGAGGGGACCGTGCAGCAGAGTTTCAGTTAGATTTTTTTTCGCCGGTCAGCATGTCCGTTAAACTTGAAATCTTCCGGACAAAATTAGAAAAGTGCCGGTCAAAGGTCTTCTTTGTTATTTATTGAGCTTTAAAACAAATTGATAATGACTCTATATAATAATATAATAAAACACGGAGGACGGAGATCTCTTTTTCTCCCCCTCTTCTGAGAGCCCAGCAGCTGATCTCTGAGC